TTTTATTTGGTAAGATTTTCTTTGGTAAATTTTGTAATTAATGAAGGTGTAAAAAATTTCCTCTAATATAATACTGAGCTGTTTACAACTCAAACACAGCAACCCAGATTGATATCAATTCTGTAGCTGGGAACAGATTGTCCAATTAGGTTCATTTCTCTCTGAAAGTAAAAGGATCTCTTTATTAGACCTACCTTCAAATACACAATTTTAAAAAAGGGCTCTCTTATACTTTAAGCTACACCTACTTCTATTTTTTGGTAAAATCTATATTAGTTATAGTAGCATAATAGCAGACAAATATGGTTTAATTTGTAAACATTAGGAACACATTCTCTCAAAATTCAGAAGCAAAACTTAGAACCTCTGGTTTCTGTGCTATGCTGCATTATATCACACCATTCCTAGCTTTCTGCTAGATTCCATCCTGAATTATTTGCTTTTGTGACTATTTCTCATAGAACTAATGGCTAAGATTATACAAATATTGAAGAAATGACCAAAGTTGTGGTTGTGTGATCAGGATAGCGGACATGTGCCTTTGTGGGCAGGAAGGATGCATGGTGCTCTCTGCATCAACAGTTATTTCTTGTGTTCAGTGCCAGTATGATTCATCCATTAGGTACACACAACATAATACTAAAATTTGTCTTACATTAGCAGTTATAACCAACTAAGCCTGGAAAGTCGTACCAGTTTGGTGACTCATGATTTTATTAGCACTATTCTACACTTCATCTTCTTTTAATCTGGCAAGTATTCTAATTTTTAAGAGTTCATCACTATCTACTTGGTTTTCATATAACTTTAAAAAGCACTTTTAAAAAAGTAGTACAAATACGTGTTTCAACCAACTTGGTAAAACAATGACAGTAATCATTCAACTTGAAAGATAAAATGCCTCCTGTTCAGACTGTAACACAGCCATAGTATAGAAAAGTTGCCCTAAAATTCTTAAATTTTCTGATCACTAGTATGACCTATTAAACTTTTTAAAACTGAAAAAATACATAACTAAAATACTGATTTTTAAAAATTGACTCTGTAATGTAATCCCAGATCAGAAATAGAGATGCTCCTCCTTGCCAGTGTTTGTACAGTATGCCACCCATTAAGACATATACTAGAATTTTTATTTACAAATGAACATGCAGAGAATTAAAGGAGACAACTGATTGTCAACAACTAAAGTACCAAAAATTGGACTCATACAAACCTCAAAATGAGACAGGAAAAACACCCCACTTCATTAAAATATTCACAAAAGTAATGCAAACAAAATCTGAAAGAAGTTATTCTCAGTATTCCAGTGTCTAATAAATATAATTAATTTGAGAATACACATTGGAAATATTGAGCTTATTAGCTGAGACTACCGCAGTGAAGACATTTCACATGGTATATACACTTTGACATCATGGTCACTGTTCCATTATGGAATTGTAAGCGTCACACCATGAACCTTTTTCAGTTACATAAGGAAATATTGCTTTTATCTGCTCCAAGCACAGTAAGGTTCAACCTCTCTCCACATTGGAAATTAATGTAGTCATATGTATTTAGTCTTTATAATATTCCATTGTACAATAAAGTTAACTGGCCACCTTGGTGACTGAAAGCCAGCTGATTTTAAAAAATTACTTTAAAGTAGCTTAGAAACACTGATCAAGCCATTTTTTTATTTTGCACTTATATCTTCACATATAAACAACATGGCAGCATACAACTGTTATGTGGCAGAAAATCAGTAAGGCATAAATTAGCTTAAAGAATAATGTACCTATCTTTACATCTGTAGAGATACCTACATTTCTAACACTTCCCCATCTATACTTATCACTTTTTTTCTAGATACTTTTCTTAATGAGCTGTATTCAGACCAAAAATGTAAAGCAACTGCAGAAATGGAAAATGTTACATACATTTATCACAGTAAAGAGGCAGTGGGGTGTCAGTATGCATTTGAGGGAGATTAGGTCTGATTCTGGCTCTGCTTCTTAGTTATGTGACCTAGTCATGTCACAACCTCTTTGAGCCTCAGTTTCCTGAGGCTGAATGTGTGTGTGAGGGAGGACACTAGCTAGAGTATCTCTGTAGAGTCTCTTCTAGCACAAAAATTCTGATTATAATAAATAGGCACAGAAGAGTGGGTTGGAAAAGGGTGGTGGTTAGGAGGTCAGGATTTTAAATTAGAACCATTTTCCTCCCTATTTTAAATCTTACTTCTAAGTTAACTTTGCACTTTACATTTAAACTTTGTTTTCTAATAACATGATTTTAAAATTTATGTCATAAAGAGCTCCCCAAACCTTCAGATGTTTCTTTGTATTCCTTCCTTCTGACATAGACTGCATCAAATTGTTTTATTATAGAAAACAAGTATTTTGTCCCCTAAATATATTTTCCATAGATGGGTGGACTATTTTTTAAATAAAAGTTAAAAATACAAAAGGTTGAATGATCAAGTATGAATTGCTGACATGTATTTGTTATGGCTGTTGTACACCTGAAATAAACCTATTTTAAATTAAATGCCAATAAATAATGCAGATATTTTTTAAAATTTAGAAAATTTAACAATTTGTTAAAACTAACTCATTTCATTTTCACCATATCACGCACAGCAAATCTAAGACCCTGAATGCAAAGTTTAAACCAAATGAAATGTTTCTTTACTGGTGCCAAATCACATAAACTGAAAGAATGGAAAATAATTACTACAAGGCCATGAAACACTAATGGTTATGCGCATATACAAAACCTCTTATGTTATATGCATAGAGATAAATGAAATCTTTTAAGTTAAAAAAGTTTTAAAACTAGCTATTCAGGTATAATGTAAGATTCTTAACTAAAGAGAGTATTTATCACGTTTATTACAGCTTTTGCTATAATTTGGTTCTTTTGTGCTTTAACTAAAATCCTTAACTTACATGCCACTATACACACAATTTGTTGAATTAAAAACAGCCATTAGCCTACCTGGTATTTTTTGCCATAAAATGACCAACCTTTGGCCACAGCCAAGATCTCACTTCCTAGTAAGTACAATGTTCCTTACCTTGCGTTCCTGAAACCTTATCTTCTTTAGTATGTGGTACATTCATAAACCTCATTTATTTTGGCTGTTTTAAAATTCTTTTCATTTTTTGACATCCCATAGTAAAATGAAAAGAAATAAGGGATATCTCAAACATCTTTGTGATCTACATGTATACATACCACACACACACACAAATCAATAAATCACCTATCAACTTTTAGCTTTACCTTGGATTTTGGCAATACTCAGTACACTAGTTCAGACTAGTTTTCCATTTTTATATGAGCTGAAATAAGTTACAGATTACCAAATTCAAACAGGTACCTCATTGTTCTTATGAAGAGTCCAACATAAAGTCCCCCATCCACCTCCCTTTTTTAAAAAAAAAAAAAAAAGAAAAATGCTCTTTAATTAAAAAAAGGGAGAGAGATTTTTTTAAGTATGAAAAAGCAAAAACCATTTTTCTGGTTTTATTATCAAAGCCTACTCTAAGTTTAATTGGTAGAGATAAAATTTTAAACTTTATTAGAATACTTGCTTTCTATACACTTTTTCTTTCACAATAATAAAGTGAAACTGTTAAGTGTACAAAGCACTCCATTGTAATTTGTGGAAGGATAATTTACAGAAGTTCAAGTTAAATACTAATATCCAAAAGTATAATATATTCCCTTCTTTTTCCAAACATTAGAGCCTGAGAGTCAGAAGAGGTTATAATAGTGTTATCTACCCAAATCAAAATAAAAACTTTTTTAACCAGTAATGTACGTTAGAGCCTCTTAGCAGGTACCAATGCTACTCACATACATTCAATATCTTGCTTCCTGGCATGATTTCCAAGTTTTATAAAAACAAGAAACTCTGCAGGTATAATGATTAGAAGATACACAGATTGCATCACATTAAACACAAAGGCAGTGTGGTCCTTACAGGAGAAATCAAGTCAGTACCCCCTGGTAGAAATGTTCTATAAAAATGTGTCACATTGAAGCATCAGTGTTTTCAGCCAATTATCTGTCCCTGATATATTTCCTTGGAACATATGATCTTTCAGGACCTTCAGTTTCTTAATCCAAAATATTTGACTGAATTTAGGTACATCTAGAAAGCAGCTGAAAGGGTTTCTCCAATTGTCTGACATCACAGAAAATGGACTGAGAAATCCCTCTCTTTACCTGAAGACGTACAATTCTACTTCAGTCATCATCAGCTCACAAAAGAGAAAAAAGCAAAACAATCAAAACCTTCCCTCACACACTAAACAAAACCCCATCCCCCCCACAAAACCGCAGCACCAAGTCAATCATTCCTGGAAGCAGAACATGCCCCTTGGATTCTGATTTGTCAGCTGTTCAAACTTTAAGGAGAAAAATGACCTTAAACCTTTGTGGGAAGAGGGAAGACAT